CCTGGGAGCTGGAGGGGCTGCAGGCCCAACTAGGCGCCCGCGGAGGGAGAGAGCTCCAGGCCCCTAGCTGGGCCTCCTTGTCTTTTGTTTAAAGAGCTCTCTTCTTCCCTCCCTCTCCTCTCTCCCTCTCTCACGCGGGGACACACACACACACACACACACACACACGCGCACACACAGTTTCTCCATTAGAAATCTGAAAGGGACTCGAAAGACAAGAGGAATAAGAGGAAGGGGTTTGGGTTTTGTCTGTTGAACAAGGGGAAGAATTTCTTCTTTAGCCCGAGATAAAATATTCCTATCTCCTCTAGCACCCTTTCCAGACAGTTGGGAACCAGGATAGGAATGGGCAGAAGCCGGCAGGCGTGGGGGTCTTGGCCTGAACTTTGAGGAGAGGAGCAGGCTGGGGCTTGCAGGCCAGAGGGGCGGCGGAAAGTGCTTCCTGGGTCGGCCTTGCCCAGGTCTTAGGACCCGGTGGGTCGGGGAAAAGCAGCGGCCGCCTCTCCCCAGCCTCGGAGCTCTGGCCTTGGAAGAAAATTTCTACACTGGTGGAAGAAAAAGCCTGGGTTAGGTGGGTTGTGTTAGTGTTTGGACATTAGCTAATGCAAATCACAGGGAAATGTTAATTCCAATCAGAAAAACCTGTATTCAGCTAGCTCCCTTTCCTCCTAAGATGGCCCTCTGCTTGCCACTCTGGCTCTCACCAAATTAGCTATTACGTGAAATCCCCCTGGGTGTAAAGCACTTGTTTCGAGAATCCGCGTACAACCCATATTAACTATGCACTTTCTCCTATTCCTCTTGTGACTGTCCCTGCCTCTTCCTTCTTTGTGGAGAGTATGATGCATTTTATTTTGGCCCAATCGATGCGTGCAAATACTGGGATAACACAACCCACACATCTGCAGTGGAGGCTGTTTTCAAAATTGAGTTTAGGGATCAATACTAAGTTGAAATGCTCCAAATTGCACAAATTCGCCAAATTCAAGCCTTGGGCTCCCAAGCCCCTTTCCTGAGTGATTAACCCACTCACAGGCTATGGCTGAGCTCCCGTCCTTCCTGCCTCTCCAAATAGGATGTTTTCATCCTGCGCATTGCCTTTCCCAGAAGATCACTCTGGTTTGCTTGGAAAAACACGACCCAAAATATGTGGTGTTAAACCCTTGTCAATGGCTTCCATGCGGTCCCTTCACACTTCCATCGCTGACTGCCAGTCCCCCATCTATTTTCCTAGGACCTCACAGTAGCACCTAGAAGTGCCAGAGTGGGTGCTCCAAAAACGTTTGCCCGATTGGATTGAATAAATATTTCACTGGCTGGGGAACAGACACTGCATGGCCCCCAGTACTTCTCCCAGGGCTGAGCCGCTTGAGTCGTAGGACAAGGAGCTTTCTATTCTTTTGCAGCCAGGGCCATGACTGCAGGTCGCGGTGCCTAGCTGGGGGGAAGGGCAGTGGTTGTCCCCTTGCTGCAAGAGACCTTTCAGGCCCAGAGATGGGTAAGTAGGGGTGGATTCCAACAGAGACTAAGAAAACCTGCTGCTTGAAGATGTGTGCATGAATGTACAGTTTGAGAGGAATATAGGAGCAACAACCCAAGAACCTAGGATTCTAGGGTATCTCTGCTCAGGGCTCCTGCTGCCTGGACCTTCCTTGAGGTCAGGCTGAACCAGAGAAGAGGCAGAGACAGCAGCAGGCTCTCCAGAAGACCCACTTACTCATCAGCAGTGCCATCACTCTGTTTGTGTTTGACCCTTTTGGGATGGAAAAAGCTTAGCAGGCAATGGAGTTGGGCCCTAAAACATTGCCATTCCAGCAAAGAGCAACCACTCACAGGTCTGCAGAAGCCTCCCCAGCACGGATACACCAAACAGAATGAAGAGAGGCAACAGAGGGAAAGCTGACTGCCCTCTTCCCCAAGCCGCAAAAACAAAGAAAGGAACTACAAACAAATAAACTCAGAATTCTGAAGACTTGAGTTATCGGAGGAGCACATGTAGGACAGCAGAAGGCAGGGCCGTCATTCCCATTGTGAGTGCCTGGCTTCTTTAAGATCAGTTGAAGTCAGCTCCAGGAAAAAAACAATACTTGTGATAAGTGGGTGAGCAACAGAAAGGAGAAACAGCAAGCAGACACTGCTTGAGCCTTCTGCAGCAGCCCACCCCTTTCCTGTGAACGTTGCTACCTACCACCCGCACCTTCAAGGGATCTTAAGGCAACAACTTGGTCAGTGGGCAGGCATCTAGATTCTTGGACCTTTCAGGAATAAAGGCACATTTCAACTTGCATTCCTCTCTGTCTCTCTTTTTCTTTCTCTTTCCCTCCCTTCACATGGATACCCTGTCAGGGGTGCAAATGTCCCAGATGAGTTTTCTTCCTGTACATTGGGGCCAAACATGCAGACCAGCAGATGGTCAACTCTCAGGTACGTCTTGGTCCTACCCACTGAAATGAAAATGTGCAGGATACAGTAGGAATTGCCAGGAGCTGGTTTATTTACTTTTCTCCTCTTTCCCTTTACCCCCCCCCTTTGTCACTCTATTCTATTCAGCCTGGCCCGTCTCTCCTTCCCCACCCCCTCCCTCACCCTTTCATCCAGGTGAGGGCTGAGGAAAGACCTGGATCCTGTGATCCCTTCTCCAGAGCAGGGAGAGGGGAAGAGCTGGCCTTCAACTAATGCCGAGGGGCAGCCTGGGAGCCTGAGGTGCTCCCTCGCAGGGGTGAGAGGCCAGGGCTTCCCAGCCTCCTGCCCTGTGTGCTGAGCTATTCTGGTCAGACTATAAAAAAACAGTGTGTATCTCCAGACCAGGCGGGGCCGCTCCACAAACACATGGCCGGGGCTTGGCAGTGGCGTGCATGGCCAGATGCAGATGTGAAGAGGTGCTTTTAATTTTGTCCCAAGTGTTACAGGTCCTGTGGCAAATTGGTGTTCAGAAAGCCAGCTTTTATTTTTTTCTGTTAATAATAGAGGCTTCTTAAACATATATGTTGGAGAATTCAGAGTGTGTATGATGACCACCAATGATTTTAAAAGGGCTGGTTGGTCTCTTTCCTAAATAAGGAAGGTTTTTAAGTTGAAGAGTTTGGTTAACATTTGAATTATCCAATTGTTTCTGCTGCTCCTGTCATTTTTAAGAAAACAACAAAAACATTTCATCTTTGTGTTGCTTTCGCCCTTTTATATCTTTATACACTATAAATCCAGTAAATTAGGAAATTAGTTATCCGCTCCTGCCACCTTCTTTAGAAAAACTACCTCTGTACCATCTACTTTCCCTAAAGTACCAACATTTCATATCACCTTGTACATGTTGCTATTTGTGATTTCACATGACAAATAGGAGGAAGACAAGTTATTTCACAGAACTTCAATGGGAAGGAAACATGACTTATTTTGAAGACTGGGGTGACCAGGGTTTCTGAAATCTCATCCTTTGCATCAATCTCTAGCTGGTTTATCTGAATAGGATCTGATCCTGCACATGAGGGCTACACATAATATCCTGACACAACCGAAGGCTGAATTAGGAGCATCTTGATTGTGAATTTCCTATCTCTTCCTGTTTTGAACCAATACTTCAGTGTGTACTGCAAGATTGATTTTTAAATGCGATCTCCTTCGAGGAAAAAAAAAAGTGCAAAAAAAAATCATGATTAAGGCAAAGAAAAGCAGGAAATCTTTTCTAAACACTGTCAGGACCATTGATCTCGGTTACCTGCTATAATGTGAATGGAATCATTATGGCTGTTCCATTGACAGGGTTTCTTCATTCAGGATCCCGGCCAAAGAAGGGATAGCATGTCAATGTGTAAAATTCCAGCCAAAGATAAGCCATTACAATGGAAATGGCAATGTGCAAGTCTCATTGAAGCCAATGAAATTGAGTGTAATACAGCATTCTCATCTGCCTGCTCCAGGATTTAGTATGCAGCTCTGCATCGAAATGAGATTATGCATATAAAATGCCAATAGAGAACACACTGCCCAATTTTTATTAGAAAAGCAACTTAAAGCCCGTGTACATGGGCTTTACTTAAATACGAAGTTCATGTGCAGAAGAAAGCACAGCACTGTCAGAACCCTACACCTCCAAAATGCCCTCATTCTGGTTTTTCAGGCTTCTTTTCTGCGTGATCTTACCACACACCCCCTCCTATCCAAACACAATTCTTTTAAGGGCACTCTTCAAATCATCTAAGGACTCCCAAAGGGTATTCCAGGAGTCTCTTAAAGTGTCTCTCTAAATTAAAAGGCTCCAAACAATATAAGTGCATTTTTGAACAAAAAAATATGAGAAAGTATTCGAACTTGCAAACCTACAGGTGTGTGAAAAAAAGAAGAAAAGGACCAAAGAGAAAACGCCCCAGCAGTGGATTACAAGGTTATGGGACAGATCACTAGGAAAGGGAAGTAAAAGTGAATGTTAGGGTGGGCTTGTAAATTATGCACCTTCCAGGGGAAGAGGTTTAAGGTCTCTTCACTCAAGGGTTTTTTTCCCATCCATTTTGCTATTAATTCTTAACTCTTGGTAGGCAGTGCTTTAATGAGGTTGTTTGTGGCAGGTTAATTTTCTGCAATCTACTGAACTCCTCGTTTTCCCTTTTAAGTGCACTGCTGCCTACAGCTTTCAGAATTTTCCATACCAGAAGAAAACAGAATAAACGTGAAGTTGTCTGGCTGGGCTGGGAATTAAAGGCGTTGTGTGGACAGATAAATGGAGGGCCTGGACAGATGGGACTGGGAGGATAGAAGCCAGGCTGAGTTGAGGGCAAAAGGGAGAGAATTTGGTCTTAGGAGAGCAATGACCCTAGGAGTGTAATATATTAAATATTGCGGCGATCGATTTCAATACCCCAAGTGGACACGGGAATAAAAATTCACCAACGAGCTGAAGTGATTAGGAATGCTTTGTTGCGAAGGGGGAAAAAATGTGATTTTCTTCAAATCCTTTTTGTTCAGGTTAGAAGAGGCCCAGGCAATCTGAGTGTAAGCCCCGGACTCCCGGTTTGGGATATAACCCTAAAGGTTAGTCATATCTCAATGGTACTCCTGCGTAGAGGAAAGATGAGCTTTGTACCAAGGAGGATTAAATATCAACCACAATTATGGGCTGGTGACTCCAGGCACTTCGCTCCCAAATCAGAGAAGAGGGCATTTTGGAGAGGCTGCATCTTTCCTGTGTGTTAGTCTTTGTTTCAGTTCTGGGACAAAGCAGTGGCTTTTGCACAATTCTTCTTTCATTAAAATCTATGGGGAAAACGCACAAATATGGTTTACAGGAGACTGACTCGCAACAGTGGGGTGTAAAAACAGCCTCTGGTGGTATGTAGGAGAAATATTTTTGAAGTGTCATTCTGGGGACAAAAGTATGACACTGTCACATACACAGGCGCAAATACTGGCTACTGCATGTGAGTGTGTTGGTGATTTCAGAATCGGGTGGGAATTCTCTGCGCTTCCTTCCCCCTACCAAATCCAGCCCTTAGATGTTCATGCTATGAACTGTGCTCTCGCAGTCCAGGAATCTGTTTAGGGACTTGGGGTAGGCGCTGTGGAGGCTGCTTGGAGCAGGGGGATTGTTTTCAGTCACAGCCTAATGGGCAAAGCCTGGGCTCTTCACACTGGGGACACCAAGTCTGCTGCTAGGCACACACTGCTGGATGCCTGCATGTAGAAGCAGCAGCTACTGCAGCTGCCTCCTCCTTCCGTGTGGCCACTACGAATCTGGGAAAGAAATGCAGCATCATACAAAGGATTTCTTTAATGAGGAAGACTTCCTCACACTTGCTGTGGGCTGTGGCCTAGGCTGAGAGAGAGAGAGAGAGAGAGAGAGAGAGAGAGAGAGAGAAAGAGAGGGCGCTTTTCTTACCTATTATAGGCTCCTTTCTGTGCTAGCCAGGGTTGGGAAAGGCACACCCCTACACACACACACACACACACACACACACACACCATGGCCATAAACCCAGAGCCTGATTTCTCTTTGACTCTGGTGACTGAGTGAGGATACACTCAGATGGATGGAGCCAGGCTGCGTTACAGACTTGGGCAAAAGCAAGCAGCTCCTCTTTCTCGCTCCTTTGCCATATACCTGCTCCTTTCTCTGCCACGGTCCTCTTGTCTATCCATCACAGTGATGGCTGGCTTCCACGCTCCCAAGGACAGCAATATTTCTGCAGGAGGATCTGCTTCCCAGAGCCTGGGCCAGGGAAGGGAAGGAACCCTGAGCCCCACCATCTCTTTTAAATCTAATTCGAGCTGACCATGGCTGAGATTGGCTGTGGGCAGAGCACTTGGGTTCCTGCAGCTTGAGTCTCCCAGGCTTTCTGGCGAGTGATGAGTGGCTACAGGGAGGCCATTGCGCCCTATAGAGCTGTTTATCTCCCTTAAACTACCAGCTCCTTCCTCTCTTCAGGTTGGGTCCAGTCAGGTGTGGGAGTAAAATATCACTCAGAAAAGTTATCTCAAGGGCCAAAGATGGAGCTCAGTGGTAAAGTACTTGCTTAGCATGCATGAGGCCCTGGGTTCAAACCACAACCCAGCACTCACCCCAAAATAGTTACCTTGAGAAACTAATTACTGAGAGTAGCTGTTATCCCTCTTCTGGAGAAAGACTGATTTAGGGGGAATTTGAGTAAGAAATTGTTCAGTTTTCCCTTTGGCCATCTTTTGTTCTGTATCTCCCTCCTCCTCCTCCTTTTTCCTTCTTTCCTCCTCATTTTCAATCATGTCAGAAGAAGATGCAGGGTTTTTTTTTTGTTTTGTTTTGTTTGTTTTTGGTACCAGGAATCAAACTCGAGTCCTTGCGCTTGCAAGGCAGGCCACCAAACCGCTGAGCTAAATCCCCAGCCCAGGTCATTTGTTTTTTTTGAGACAGGATCTCACTATATAGTTTAGGCTGGTCAGGGCTGGTCTTGAACTCTAGATAGCCCAGGCTGGCCTCAAACTCCTGGTGATTCTCCTGCCTCAGCCTCCCTGGTGCTGAGATGACAGGCATGTGCCACCACTCCTGGCTCAGAACATGGAGGTTGAAAGCACCAATAGCTTTACACAGTGGGGCCTGTTGAAGCCCAGAAACAAGGCCTGACAGGTGAAGGAGTACTGAGATTCCTGGGCTGTGGGACAGAGGGGTCATTTGCAGGGAAGGAATTCCCTGGAAGGGAGACCTGTGGGTGGGGCCTCTCTGTCCCAGGTCACCGAGGAAGATTCTAAACTCTGAGACCCAGGGCCTGCCCCCGTGTGGGGGACCTGTTGCTTGAAACTGTTGAAGGAGCCTGTGGGTGCCCAGCATGGCACCGCTCTGTCTTGGGGTGCGGCCGGGCTCACCTATCATTGCGCTCACTGCCAGGGGACCCCGACAAACCTGCACAACGTGGGTCTCCGTAGGCCTTCAGGTTCCCTGATCTGTGTGTAGCACTTTGCAAAACTGCAAATAAGCGAGAAAATTTGGCCATTCTTGTGACAAGAGATACAAGTTTGCATTTAACATGCAAGCATGAGAAGGCGGGGGTGCTTCTGGCCCAAAGCCCCACTGTAATCTCCAGAACAATTTCATTTCCTCCGAGGCACCCCAGCCCAGGCCTCGGAAAGGTCAGGGAGATGGAGCCGAAGAGTGGGGGCGGGGAAGGCGGCCAGGCCCAGGCTGGGTCGCAGGTGAGGGCTGAGCGGGCGGTGTGGAGGGGCCGGGGGAGGGGCAGGCCCTCGTCTTTCGGAGGGTTTGGTTTTTTCCAGAGGGGCTTTTCTCAGGAATTCTCCCAGCCCGCCCCTTCTCGCAGCGGAGATCGCAGGGAGCTCGGGTTTCAGCCGAGGCCCCGCCGCCTGCCCGCCTGGTGAACAGGCCTTTCCCGCTTGCAGAGAAAGGGAAAAGCGCGTGTTCCGGGCCGTGCGCAGCCCGCGCCCGCG